GAAATTACATACGCGCATATTTATACATTATTGAGAGGCACACGATCTCCGGGGCTGGGATTATTCGGGGCGCGAGTTAGGCGGTGAACGTTTGTGAAGCGCAAATTAAAATCCACGCGCTTAGGTATCAGGTATCAAATTATTTCGATTGGTTGATTTCTTTGAATAGATTTAGTGCATGGCGATATTGTACACGCGAACACATTACGCGCGATTTGCCGCGAGAATTACGACACACACGTATATCCGAACATAAATATTTAATTGTTCAAAATCACCAGGAAACATAGTATCGCGGTTTGAACGTAACAATTTAGCCATCGTTGGGGTATCCGATTATTCGAATATTCCCAGCTCTGCGAGCGACCCCCGCCCGTCCCCCTCCCCGTCCCCCTTTTGCTGTTTTCTCGTCGTCGCCCGGACACCAACCCGATCCGCTAGCGACCTGTGCAACAACGGAAAATTACCATCACCAAATAACTACCATTTCTACTATTTCTATCAGCACTACCAAGCTTTCCGACGATGTACGACGATACATGGTGAACAAAACCGCTTGATAGCCGCGGTACACGAAAGAGCTTCTCGCTGGGAATGGCCGATTTAATATTTATACTGCCGGATCGTGTGAGGAATATGATCTGAGCTGTAAAAGAGATGCATGTAAAATAAATGTGTACCCGAAGCTTGCGCCTCTTGAAACTCGTAAATTCGTGCGAAAAATCATCTCCGCGATCGTTCGCAAATCAAGAACTCCGGCGTCTCGATTTCGTTTATTTCGGCCGAGGAAAAAATCGACTCCAGATTCGTTAAAAATCCATCTAAGCTAAGAGATCGAGCGGTACACCCTGAATTTCCTCAAACGTGCCAGACGTGGCTGACAAGTATGACAAGTCGAGGAACGATCGGTGTCCCCGCCTGTTAATTACAGATGCTTAACTGGAATCTGGAGCGGATCTGTTATCACGAATATTTTATCTGAAAATTTTTTATCCGGACAAATCGGAGGCGCGATGTACCGCGGCTACCGCGAGCGGCAGAGCATCGCACTGGGATGTGTCATCGCTCCCTGTACACACATTAGTTATTACAAGGTCCCTCCCCCCCCCCCGCTCCCCCATCACACGTGCTGTTATTTTCGTTGTGATTGTGTCACGAACAAGGCCGTCAATCGTCGGTCGTCGTCGTCGACGATAATGGCAGTGGCGACGACGGCGGCGGCGGCAACGGAATGCCTCTCGTTGATCCCTTTGAACCCTGTGTCGAGACCACACCGTTTCTCGACCGCTTTCACCCCGAAGCGCACCGGGGTCGAACGATTAACACGCTTGACACGTCGTGGACCACGAAAGAGCAGCATGCGAATTTCATCCTCTCGATGGATGAAGCGCAAGGCCTCATCTTGTCGATACGACTGTATCAGCCGTCACGACGTACGCGAGGACCTGAAGAACAAGCCTCGGGATTCTTGGGGAAAATTTCCACGCGAAGAAGAGAGAGAAATCTTGTCTCTCGTCGCGACGAGAGTATTTATTTCTTAAATAAATTATCGGTAAATTTTTTTATCTTCGAAAATTCATAGCTGAAACGAGAGAATCTACCTCCGGCGAACGTCATTGCTGTCGCAATGAAATCATCGTCTTTTCGATTCGAGGCAAAGCGAGGCAAAGATCAATTTGTCATTACAGCAGTTCACGATCCGCGAGTTCAGCGAAACTTTCGCCATAAACTTTATCTTAACGCACCTTTTCGCTCGGCCGCGGAATAAATTTCTGACAGGGGGGGGGGAATTCGCTGCGACAGCGCGAAAATATTTCGAGTGGAACGTCAATTTGATATCCGCGCGATCGATAGTCGTTTCTTCCCACGCCACGAAAAACGCGTCGGCATTACGACCGGCGGGGGATTCCTCCCCCGAGAATCTCACAGAGAGCTTTTCTCACAAGGTCCTCAGGAAGTCACATTTTCCGCGATGTTGGAAAAAAAAAGAAAAAGAAAAGCGGTTTCCGATCCCCGGCCTCGATCCGCAGCCATCGATGATCGGCCCTCGATGTCCGCAGCTCGCGCATACGACATTGCGTTCTTGTTTTTTTCTTGTTCTCTGACACGCAGGGCGAATCGAACGAGACGAGGATACAGGTGGCCAACGAGCGAGCCCATCAGCTACTCAAGTAAGCGGCCACCGCCATACTCTCTGTCGACCATCCGCACCCCGTCGGCCGCCACGAGCATCACTACCATCACCCTCCACCTACCATTACCACCAACAACAACAACAACAACAACAGCAACATAACAAAAGAACAACATCGACACCAATAACAAATTACCAGCACAATTACACTCGATTACAGTCCACTCGATCGTTTGCTCGCAGTCGCTATCGCGTTTCGTCCGTTCGCGAAACGTGTCTTCGTTCGTTTTCACCGATATCGAGTTGGTATTTCGGTATTTTTTCGCGAGCTCGGTGCGTCGGAAATAATTAATACAAATACGTAACCTTAAACGTAAGACTCTAAACCGAGTGGATAAAACTGTAAAATATAATTTTCTTCAGAATTTTATGTTTTTTTTCCCCCTTTTTTTTCATTCAAGTAAATCGCGCGCGCTCGCATGACTGACTGACTATGTGTTTAAAAGTCGTACGCGAAGCGACTTTTGGATGGTCTCTCCTAAATCGTTGCATGAAATTATACTGCATGAAATTATACAAAATTATTTCGTGAACGACGGCAGCTGAAAGAACCGACGTGAAAGATAAATACAAAGAGATAAATGCTGAATTTGTTGTACTGTTGTGAATATTTGTTACATGTCCTTTGTATTATATAATTTCGAGATTCGTTTCCTTAACTTTCGTAAGTTTAATACATGCTGGAGCATCGCGCGTCACAGATTCGGAGATTGAGTGAAATTCGATTTTGTGAAATTCGAAATATATATCCCGATTCCTGATTTAGCGTCGAAGGCATCCGATCTAATTTTCCATCGAGTCTCAATTTCGTTAGTCCACTCTCTGCGATCGTAAATTCGATTTAATCTCCGAGATCTCCGGGCTCTCTTTGTTTTTACAATGGCAATAATTCACCGATGAGAAACTTCGAAGATTCGACGCGAACGCTTCGAGACGTCACACTATCGACGCGGCTAATCGATCGTCGAAGACCTGGAGTAAAAATGGATCCTTTAAGATTAACGAAGCAGTTTCATTGTACCGATCACAACGAAGAAGCTGATGGCATCTTGTTTTTTCCTAGCGTGGCAAAAGCGTCGAGTTATCGCGTAGCTTAAAAAACGGAACTGAAATCCAATCTCCGGTTCGAGAACGAGCAGCTTCGTTCTCTTCGCCGGCAGAGTTTAGCACGTTGAACGCTGTTGGAAACTAAATAAAAAAATAATCTATATATATATATATATACATATATATTATACATATATCTCTCGATAGTCACACACATGTACACATACACATACCGGGGAGATTAAATGCACGAACAATTGCAGCGATTAATTCAGTTCTATCGATTATGGCCGGCTCTAGTCAGAGTCGGGGCGGGACTGCATTGGCGGAAACGAAGATACACAAAGATTAAAAAAGGAAAAACGAAGACCGAACAAGATAATAGTACAAAAATTACTACACTTATCTCCCGTTAGAAAAGACAAGATTCGAGTACAAGCTTTATTTATTTCTCTTATCGTATATTACCGCTCTTCGCGATTACCGACTCACGCTTGAGGAGATCATATTCGATACCGTGTCAGCGATACTGTCTGCAAGCGAAAGAAGCGACACACTAATCTCCCTCTCCCTCGAGTCTCCCCCGACGTACCGGAGGAGCCTCCGTTATTTCCTTCCGAATCGAAGGATCGGTTACATTCGGAATTCCCGAGCTCAGTCTCGAATAATTTTCACGAGCGTTTCACGAGTTCTGCCGGAATAATAAAAACGGATAGATCGCGGTAACACTTGGAGGAGGAAGGGAGTGGAATCGCGAGAGCGAAGGACGAGGGAGCAGGACGAGATGGAGGAAGAGGAAGGAACATGAAGAAGAAGAAGAAGAAGAAAAAGAAGAGGAGGACTTACTAGTATAGCGAGATAACTGAAGCAACGAAGAGAACGCGTTCAGCCAACACGATTATTAGGCGTCAGCTGAAGCTGTAGATAGGGCGAGGTCTTCTTTCGTCGTTTAAAAAAAAAAGCTCGACTCACACACTCGACAACGTAGAACGTAGGTGTTATTTCCCCTTGCCCATTGTCCAGTCCAGCTCACCCGCCCCGTCCCCTAATTCTCCCCTTTTGCGCCAATCGCGCCGAGATCACAGTAAGGTTTAACTCCAAAGAAAGATTGTACATTACTGTATTTACACGAGGACGACGTACCTACCTTGTTAAATCGTACGATGAGGAGAGGAGGTCTTGGTAGAGAAGCCTGTCGCGGCTCGAGAGTCGATTGCCCGTCGGTGATCCTGGACAACCATCGTGATTCTGGTGTGTTCTTACCTTACTGGAATAAGGCGGCTGGTTCTTACGTAGCGAATTTTTTATCGGTGATATTTCAAGAGGTCGTACGCCTGAATTTATTAATTTTGTAAGTACTTTTTTTTTTTTTTTTTTAAGATTTCATGTCCACCGAAATTTGTCAGAAATTACAAGGTCTGGTACACGAAAAGAAAAAAAAAAATAATTGTGCCAAAATTCTGTTGAAAAATGAACGAGTCAGGAATTCCAATTGAAGTTATTAGAATTCAGTTTAAACAGACGAGACGTCTGGTTAGCTTAAGCAGAAATCTGATAAGCCCATTTGGAATTTCCGATTAATTTTTAAATAAGAATTTTGATACAACCAGCTAAACTATTTTTTTCCATGTAGCTTGTTGAAATCCTCACATCTATCGCGACTTATTGCCCTTTCTAGTGCGCTGTACTTTTTAAGATTTCGAGAAAACGGACCGATTCACTGCTCGAGATGTGAGAGATGAAGAAGTGACAATTGACACCTCAGGTTCTCCGAGTGTTACGGAAGAGAGGATGAAATGGCCAACGGGCGGCGATCTCGAGCGGCGCGGCCAGTAAGGATCGAGCACAAATAATTGCGTAGCCTTTTCGATTTCGCTTATCCTTTGCTTTCTCTCGGAGAGGGAAGAGAAACGCTCTTCGGACGCTCCGGCATACGAACGTGCTATAAGAAGAGTGAAAGGGTTCGTGCGAATTTGAGAATGAGAGAGAGAGAGAGAGAGAGAGAGAGAACGACAAATAAAAATGTGTAGAGAGTGAGAGAGAGAGAGAGAGAGAGAGAGAGAGAGAGAGAGAGAGAGAGAGAGAGAGAGAGAGAGAGAGAGAGAGAGAGAGAGTCAGAGAGAAAAAGAGAGAGCGAAAGAAGGATCTTGCGCGACAAGAGAACTAATTGGAATAACGACACGAGGAGTGAAATCCGATGAAATCCAGAATTTAAGATTAAAGCCATCTGCTATCTGTAGAAACGGAATGTCCCGGGGCTGTCGAATCTGCTTGCCCTAGAACTAAGAATAAGATAAAGAGAAGGAGTCGTTTGCCTTAAATACAATTGCTTAAAGCGATTAGTATTTGAGATCGTTTAGTATCGATCTTTCGAAGATGAATTTGGTCCCAAGGACGCGGATGTAAAATATACTTTAATTACCGGAATTATCCCTAGGCTTTAATTTCTAGGCGTAATTCCGAAGGATCGAGTTTCAAATAATTTGTCGATCGATTAATCGTTTTCACTTCGGAATATTTGGGATATATTCGTCCGCTTCGAAATACACGCGCGTCGGATGAGGATTAACGGGTCGACGATAACGCGGATGACGATTCTGAAATTCGGGACGGGGCCTTCGTGACTGAGGGAACATCCGACAGATCCGGAGGCATTCGAATATGGAAACAATTCCACATCTTCTCCTAAGTGACAATTACGTACCTTGACATATTAGCTAATCACATCGAGAGATTAACGTAAACGGAGATCGAAAAAGCTCCAGCGGAACTGCCGGCAATGTGATACGCGGCCTCAATCCGCGACTAGAAGCGTAAAACTTTCGGGGATCGATGCGATGGCACGAGGATTAAATCTTTCAATTTTCCTCATCGATCGGCTCTAGAATCAAAGTTTCAATATTATCCTTTTGTCGATCAAATACAATTAAATTCTTCCCGATATTTGTCATCGACACAACATTGACGTTTTTACCGTTAATACAGATTAACAGATTTTATCATTAGGCTTAGCTTATTCTCTACTCTTTATTCTTCTTTAGTTCTAAAAATTGAAAAAAAGTAAAGAATGAACTTTAAGCCGAGATTAAAATTAATTTACATTGGTAAAAATGGAAATGGATTTGAAAAAGGCAGAAAAGCTTGCAACTTTGATCAAAGACTATTTCTTCTCTTTGATTTTTGATCTTGTAAAAGCTTGTAGATCTTCATAAAATCATAATTGATATAAAGTTAATTTCGCGATCGAATCGTCAGGACTCGTTCCACCGATCGACTCCTACTTCAGAAACGCGCATGGAGATGCGAGCCATTTCCTCGTGTATTTATCGCGAAATATCGAGTGCGAGAGACAAATGTACAAGGGACCACCGTGCAGACGTGCAAGGTATCATGGAAGCGCAATCTTCGAGGCACTCGAGTAATTCGTACAGTAGAACAGCAACGGATATAAAAACTGGCGAAGACGAGAATGAGGATCGCGGCGTATGAGAAACGTATTTGTAAATTGTAAAGTTATTGGTTTAAGCAGGGAAAAAAGACGGGACACGAGACCAGCTTCTCTCTTTTTAGTACCGATTATAATGTCGCTAGATGTATTTACGATACCGTCGTATAAAAGAGAAAAAAAGAAGTTTTACTCCTCGGCAGTACCATTGTAACAAATGCCTGTGTATTTTACTTCTTGGCAAATAATAAATCATCAAGTATTGTATTTCCTTGTTGCTGTCTGTTGTTCCTTCAGGCTTAATTTCCCGTAGGATTCATCGTTTGAATTAAAAAAGTTTGAAAATTCAATACCATCAATGACTTGCAGAGAACTCCAAGAAGTTAGAAACTCAATCGTGCTATCAAAGATAAATCAGCTATATCTTGCATCCGCAACAAGCTACTGATAAGGATCCGTATTGCGTAATGATCTTATCGTACTCGACTTCGAACACATATCAGAACGTAGCAATGCATTCATGGTGCAACAAAAATGATTAAATGCATTTTATAGATTAAAATCTAGATAGATGTTATTGTGTACAGAATAATTAAAAGTTGTAAACATTACAACTTACTAACTTTGTCCCTGATCTCAATCTCTATGTTATAAAAAAATCAATTATAAAGAAATAGGAAATGAATTAGACATGTGAACATATGATATATATCAGTAATATTGATAAAGTATCATAAACAATAAACAATTAAATGATTTGGAGTAAAATAATATAAATTCTGTTAAAAATATTACTTAGGAAATGTATGATTTAAAAAATTAATAGTATGTTTTACCAAAAAAAAAAAAAGATTACGTGTACCTATCACTTAAATTTTTACATGAAAGTATATTAGAAACTAATTTATTTTCATATTTATTATTTTAATATGCTTAATTATTTTCATTTCAATATTGAAGCAATACGACACATAAAAAACTGTAAATTTTATATATAAATAAAATAAGTTTATATAATAATAATATTTCTTCTGCATTCAAATAGTAATTAAGAATTGTAATCTTTATTTGTAATAATATATTTACGGATATATGAACATATAAAGTACTTAAGACAAGCAATACTTATTTAAATGCAATATGCATTTTTTTGTGTGTATAAATTTTTCATTATAAGAAACGATTGAAACAAAACGAGCTTAAAGAAAATATAGAAACTAAATCATAATACCCTAATTATCGCATACGAAATCAACATATATCAACTCTTATCTAATTATCCAATTTTTCGATGTGAACTAGCTTGGAGACCTTGTCTATCAAGTATACCAGGTAATTTCTGTAATTAAGCGGCGCGACTGATGTACATTGGAATTTTAGCCTCATTTCATCCTGAAAAATATAGAAATACCGTATGTAAATAATAAAAAAATTAGATTACAATATAAAATTTATATAAGATAATAATAAAAAGACTACTGGGAAAATTGGAAAAAAGAAATACAAAAAAATCTTATTAATAAAAATAATAAAATTTACATTGTATTACCTGGAAAACTTCTGTTCTTGCCCTCAAAGTGAATGTGAATCTCTTAAAGCTCGCCTCTCCAAATTTCTGCATGTAGGCATCGTTATCAGTCTCTTTCAATTCTCCCAATTCTTGCGCTGATGCCCCCAATATCTTCTCGGCTTCCTCATTGAAGGCAGTTATCCAGCGACTGCCTGTCGCGTCTGCTATATTCATCTGAGAATCATTATTACAATAAATCGAACAAACAGATACTTACTTTAGATAATAAGTAAGTTGTACAGACAATACATACAGATAGCAGCAAACGGTACATAAAATTCGGGTAATCCTTATTACATTTTTCACATCGAAATATACCAGTGGACTGATCGATCAACTAAAATTGAATATGTTAATTATGTTAATTATAGCGTGAGAGAGCGATCGTAGCACAGTAGACAGCGCACTGATCTACTGTGCTGAGAGGTCCGATTCTCGGCAGAGCCGGGAATAATAAATATTTTGTATTTTATATATATAAATATTTTATATATGCTCGTGTCCTCTCGGCAGGCAATGGCAAATCACTAAGAATAACTTTGTCATATTTCTCTCTATCAAAAATTTGCCGTTCAGAATCAGCATTAAACTGTAGGTCCTATATACCTGTGTATAATCGTGCGCAACACAGATATATGAAAGAGAGATCACCACGCTCGGACATGAGCAATAGGATAGCAGAGGGAATAATGGTATACAAGAATTACTCACTTTCTTCTTGCAACTTTCTACAGGACATGCTTTATAGATAGAGTTCTCTACGCGGACCAAGTTAATGGTCGCCACCACTGAAAACAAATCTGGAGAACCCATTTTCTCTCCCAATCGGGCTTCGGCTATCTCTTGGAACGTGTACAATGGCGCGTTGGAATCACCACTTCCACCTGCTCTAGACAATGATTTAACAGTCTCCGAATGGCCACCTGCAGTATACCATCTGATAAGCCTATGTGCTTCAGGAATATCAGGATCTTTTTCAATGACAGATGAATTTATAAGAGATAAATTCTTTCCGCCATTGAATTCGCCAATGCGTGCTCCTTTAATTGCGACAACCGGATTGTTAGAACCATCAAAGTCTTCAGCCTGCTTTCCCCATAATGTAACACACACCTATTGTACAAAAAAAATTCTTTCATTTATTCATAATAGCAAAATATTAAATTACAAGATATTAATGAATTACTTACCATCGTACCGCTGTCATCGACGATGTTAAGATCCCTCTTCACGAGATCTTGACCAGTAGTTCGCCTCGTGAGATGTACAATATCGCTGACGCTCGATACGACGCCTAAGACATCTATTAAAAATTAGGTAATTATTCTAAATTATTGTATCCGTAATCGAATCATTCATCGAGTAATTCATATCAAACTCATTTCTTGTGTAACTTAAGATTTATTACCATCTATTTTAAATCTTTAATATAATTATCAATTCGAATTTAGATAATTTTAAAAATAAAATTTAACCAAAAGCGACATATTAAAATAAATGTTAATAGAAATAGATTTTAATCAAAAAATTGTTAATAATACACAAAATGATAAAATTTTTCGAACAAATGTAAAACTAATGTTCAAGATTCAATATGAGTATTGCAATACCTATTATGTCATTTTTCTCCTTGTTTTCTATTTGATTTATGGAAACAAAGTTGAACTGCAGTGTCGGGATATCGTCACTGTTTTCAAAGCATGGTATGATCTCTGTTTCATTGGTCATCGTCATCTCGTAATCATTTTTCAGTGTATTGAATTGCTTGTTCGCCGCCTTCAGTGCACATTTCGAGATGTAGTATATATTTTTAGGCTGCGTAAGTAAAATGCTCAATAGTTTAATCCTTCGTAGAAAAAATAATTCATATATCTGATTAATAGATCAATTGCGTGAGACATACCTCTATCATGTCATAAAACTTATCACACATGTCTCTGAATGCAGTACATCGAATTTCACCGCTTTCGTCAATTAGATCCATACTGAAAAGTTTGCCTTCTCCGCGAGAATTGCTCCATGTTCTGATCCCAGATTTACTCGTCACACGAGCCTTGATCACCCATCTAAAGGTATACTGTCGTTATCTTCTTTTTGTATTTTGATATCATCCATAAATACAATATATATTACAATATATATTTATATCTATTATATCTATTATATTACAACAAATATATCTATTATATTACAACAAATACACTTTATGTACAATCGAACCTGTTTTGGTAAGGACTTAATGCCGCGATTGGTGTCGTGGATATATCAGAAGAAGCTTGATGTGAAGTACCACTTCTAACTGAACCATCTATTGTAAGCAAAAAAAGATTTTATATTTCGATAAATATGGATTAATAATAAAAATATACAAGACAGGTTTATTCGATCAAGATCAAATCTTGGTATGACTATATAATTATTTTAATTTATATTTATATAAATTCAATAAGTTTTTCTGTCACAAACAACGGATTAATTAATAATTTATTTTAATTACGATGTACTCACTAGTTTGATAACGCGTAGATGTAGTTGTAGATACAGATGTAGATGTAGAGGAGGATGACTCAGCCTCCGTTACAGTCGAGTCTATATTAGTTGGATTGCCTAACTTACAGCCGACTTCGTTGCCAGAAACTATGACCTCAAGGCCCAGGATCAATATCAAACGTCTGTTAGAACGCGAAATATGCTTGATACTTGAATTATTTCATATATTTTTTTGAACATAATATAACGAAGATAAACAATACTTTTCTTTGCCGCCATTGTTCACTGCAGTCAAGTGATAGTTTAATATCTCGCAGATCGCAAACTCGGTTAAAATATTTTCTTCAATGAGGTTATTCAATTGAGTCGCCAACATAGTGAACGAGTTTAATCTCTGCCCATCAGACAACAGTAATCTATATCGATCTGTACTGGAACCATCCTTACTAACAGTTTTCGGTAGTTTTTTGAAACCCTGTAAGATCATACATATTTATATAAAATTTCATTCTCCAAAAATAGAAGATTATCTGTAATTGTCCAGAAATTGTCAGAAATCAGAATGATTATGCAAACTCATAAGATTTAAACTATCAAGATAATTCTAATGCAAAATACACTTTAGGAACATTTAAATCAGTAATATAGGATTTTAGGAATTTTATCCATTTCTCACTTCATAGCTGTCCATTTGTAACATATAATGATCAATATCATGAAACTGAGATCATTAGAAGATTATAACATGTATCATTTTGTTTAAGAGTATATTATTACTATTGTTACATAAGATATTGTTATTTTTTTCTTACAACTGTTTTCTATTGTTATTTTTTATCTCACTAACTTTGATCTCAATCTCTAATATAAAAAAAAAATCAATTATATAGAAAAAGGAAATAAATTACACATATGAATATATTGATATGCATAATAACATTCATATTAATAACATTGATATCAAAACTACAAATCTTAGATAGTACTTATTTAAATTTATAATTTAAAAGCAATAGATCGTGGCATAATTCTGTTAGCTGGATATTATTCTATAAAAAAAGAATGTGATCTTCAAATAACACAACATTGCAAAATCTTTAGGTTAGATTTTTCCAAATTCATCCTATCGTACTCACCAATACTTGGAGAATCGGTTTTTCAACATCTACGCCCCGCATGATTTGCTAAAACAATCAATTGATAAATAAATGTCTTCTGCGCTAGAGATTAAACATAGTAACAATATAAGTTACAACAATATTGCCTAATAAACAAAAATGGATTATAATAGATTGAAATTTTCAGAAGTACACATTCGTCAACATTGAAAATGAATCTATTTCAATGCCCAGTATCTTTGTATTCGTTTATATGTATAATATTTTCACACACATACAGAAAACTCTTTTTGTATTCTATTGAATTAAATTGAATTGAAAAACTACATTTCCTATTCCGAATTTTAAAATGAACAGTATTCATGATCTATTTTTTGAAACAGAACTTATTTCTGAACTGAAAGGCCTAAAAATGTGCTTCATTTAATTCCTATAAATACAAAGGTAAAAGGCATTAAAATGGATTCATATCAACGTTCACAAGTGCGTACTTCTGAAAATTTTAATCCATTTTCGTTTACTAGATGACAATTTAACAACTTACCTCCAACGCTCCTTCCGTCAAATCGTACATGATTTTAGTTTGTTATCAATACTATCGGACAAATATTAATCAAGCTGTTATCCAAGAAAATCAGACGTTTTGCAAAAAATTTCCTTCTAGATCGATTCCTCCGTTATCTCGCTGTTTCCCGCCGAATAGTTGACATCGGCATCAATAGCGTTCCCCAAGCGATTGTTTTTTGTTTTTAAGGTTCATTCACAATGGAAAAAAACTAAATTGATTTATCGTACGATATATTTTTTGAATATGTAATTGATTAGTCCCGGTCTACAATAGGTGATTTAAGACTTAAGCTCTAAGAAATAGATGAATCAGAGTCGAAAAATAGGAGATTAATCGATTATGATTGGTCAATTTCTTATGGTTTAAGGCTTAAACCACCTATTGTAGACTGGGACTTACAAGATGAGAATTTGGAAAATCTCTAAAAACATCACTTTAGTACAGCCAATCATATGTCGAGATTATTTTATATTGTGTTCCAAAATTTACTAAATCGTGGCCACAAAGCTTTAAGATATTTGGTTTATGGAGATCATAAGTCCTGGTCTACAATAGGTAATTTAAGCCTTAAGAAATAAGAAATTGACCAATCAGGGTGACACCCGTTTGATCACATCCCAATTGACCACTAGCCACTCACAGGAGTCGGCGCCTAGAATTTTTCCACTGTTCAAATGATTGTGAATGGCTAGTGGTCAATCGGGACGTGATCACCCGAATCACCTATTGTAGATTTAAGGAACTTAAAGAAAAATAAAAGATTAAACTGACATTATCAAAAATTGTGCTATAAATGCGATCAATGTTTCATTATAAGTTGATAAATATTTTTATCAATAAAAACAAAGAATTTTATCAATAATTAGCCAATCGAAACATAAATCCGTCCGCATGTAAATCCGCTCGGATGACACATGCCTCGCCGGAAATCGCACACGATCATGCCCGTACATGCCCGTACCGGAAGTAGGAGACGGATCGTCGTGATGCAACCATTTTCCTCTTGTCGGACGCCGTAGATCACCGCAGATTCTCGTCGCGGCTCCACGTTCTTCCCGCAACTTGGTTTCGTCACTGTAATTTTCTGCGTATTTGCCTCCTCGCCAGTATGAACGGTATCATGAAAAGCGCGCTACGTGCCACGGCACTCCGCGGCATGCTGTCATCCTCACGCGGCACCGGCAACGGCGGCCAACCTGCTAGGGCCCTGTGGAACGTATGCGGTCGCCGGCAAGCCGTCGAGATCGCGCCTATTGTCTCCTCAATTAAACTACACGACTTCTACGGTCGTAGATGTTACAGCAAGTCGCATACCAAAGGTAAGGGATCGCCGAAACGAATGTCGTTGGACGAGCCACGTGTTAATTGATCGTGTAATCCGGATCGCAATTTCATCGTTGTTATTACGTCTACTTTTCTAAAGCTGATTTAGATTAACTTTAATTTTAACTTTTTATACACACAATAAATATATATATATATATATATATAATACTACTTTTCATTCTTTTTAATTCCACAAACATTACATCGATTGCAGTTTAACTTCGGTAGAAATAGACATTAGAGAACTCGAAATACATAAACCTAAATCATACTTCAAAATATTTTTCTTTATTTTCCTTTTTTCTTTATTATTAGAAAAGAGCCTTCAGATTTTTTTTAGGATGATATCTGATTGCAGATTGATGCAACATTTGAGAACATATATACAGAATGTTTGCGAATAACATACAAGCGGATGACCTTATGGGAGGTTTCTTTATGGAAAAATAAGAAAAATATAAAGAAAAATTTTTTCATTTTCGACTTAGTTTTTCGAGATAATCAAGTTTTGAAAATTCGTTTCATGTTATAAGTACTTGTGGCTAAGATATGATCCACCCAGTCATGTATAATGTCCACCATGTTTGTAAACAATGTTTTACAACTTTTAATATGTTAGTTAAATCATCAGTTCATTGTAAACACTTAGTTTTCGTTAATCTGCCACGATGATAACTTATACAAATCGGGAATACGTTGATATAATTTGATCTTTGAATTTATTACAGAAATATATCTGCTATTGTTCGTTATTATAAAGATATCCTAAATGTAGAGTTTCTGAAGATACAAGGAATAGAAAGAAGATGCAGAGGAAATCATATTTTAACCATAAGTGTAAACACGGAACAAATTTCCAAACTTGATTATCTAGAAAACTAAGCCGAAAATGAAAAAATTTTATTCTTTATATTTTTCTTATTTTTTCATAAAGGATTACCTCCCGCCTGCTTGTACATGTTATTTGGAAACATCTTATATATTAAATTTGGTTTTTACAATTGGATATTTTATAGTTTTTATTTTTCAACGTTTTTGTTTTATGTATTTTATTTTATTTTATTTTAAAAGCCATTGCATATGAAAAACTTTTAATCATAATTATAAGATAAAGATAAATTAATCGATCAAACATTCTTTAGTATGAAAATACTTGATTGTATTTTTTTCCCCGTTCTCCTCAATTGAGGAGAATATTAAAGTGGTTTTCGTTAGGACCTCTGACGATCACACGTTCACTTTTCTTATTTCATTATTTGGTCTTCCTGTTTTTCTAAGCTAGATTATTTTATCAGGTTTCACTTTCTTTTTATCCTTCATAAATGCATGACAATACAAAAATTTGTGGGGACAAAAGATATCTATTCATTCAATGGTCTGAGAGGAACTTGTATACTTAATTGTAATTGATTGATTTGATTATAGCTAGTTGTGACTTTTATTTGCAAATACTTTAATTATAGAGAATTCAATATAATTTGTAGAAAACAAATAAGGTCTTTTATTTTATAAACGTGAATTATTTCTGCTTTATTTTAAATTCAACTTTTTTTTTAAATACATGAATGATTTAAAATTGTATCAGATATATTTTTTTCTTATTTGATAAAAGTACATAATTTTGTATAATTCATATTTTGATTCTTTTGTTAATTGTATGTATTTATCTCTTTATTAGCGGAGCAAGAATTGGTGGATTTTCTGGCGGAGGAAATAGTAGCTGAAAAAAAGGCACAGAAATTAAAGATGATACCGACAAAATTAGATGATTTTACTGTATCTCTTAATGGTGCTGAAGTCAATCTTGAAAAGAAAGATGGCACTGATACGTAAGAAAATTTTTAACAAAATTTGATATATATCTTGAATTAAGAATATAAGCTCATGGTATATCTCATGATATAAGCTCATAGTATATCTAATCTATGTTATTTTGTTCTAGTATCCTCATTAAATTCAATGTGAATCATACAGTAGACTCAACTGATACAGAAATAAATCCTGATAGCGATGATGCAGACATTGGTGAAATGAAAAGCAAGCCAACTTTCGTGGTAGACATCGTGAGGGGCAATCAAACTCTGGGCTTTGCATGTTCTTTTAACAACGAACGTGGCGCATCAGGTACACATCCATACAGTAAGTACATCAACTTCTTTTTCAAAATATTCACTATAGCTCTCTTAGAATAATTCTTTTCAGAATGGCTCTTTTATTTTCGTCTTAATAATTATTTTCTAATACTGGTATAATTCACTCTTTATAATTATCATAATTATATGTAACAGATGAATTTTGAAAGTACTCGATTAAATTTTCGTTATATCAGTTGCATGTTGTATTTTTTATATTTTTATTTTAATGTTAATTTTTTTGCAGATGATATATTTGGTATCGATGAAATTACGCTGTACGAAGGAGAGCACACTGACAAGGTGTATTCTGTGAGTGGCGAGATCATTGATGGAGTAAGCTATTGTGTTTATATATATCTCCCTTCTCTCTTTCTCTTTCTCTTTTTTTCTTTTATTAATAAAAATGCCCTATCGGTGTTTCGATTTTTAATTTGTTTAAGCTTTTTTTTTTTTAGAATGTTTTGATATTTAGAATACTAAGTTAAAAATTAGAGTACATCTCATTTTATAAGGATTAAATATCTCCCCAAAGTGTTGAGTACAAAATGCTATATTATGGCTATTTTGATTATTTATCTTTGGGAAATCATAAACATTCTTATGAAGATAGATCGTGATTTCTTGTCATGGTACATTAAAATAAGAATGTGACATGCATATTTATATGTTATATGCAATTATTATAAACATTAGATTTATAAATTTAATAAATTAATTAATTTCATTATTAAATAAAACTATTTATTTTGCAGTATCTATATGACTTACTAATGAACTACCTCGAAGAAAAAGGTATTTCAAATGAATTTGCGGAGAAGCTGATTGATTTAAGCACATGCTACGAGCATACAGCCTATGTCAGCTTACTGGAGGGCTTATCAAAGTTTACATCCAGAAAGTAATTCTAATAATTAATGTTAAGATTATTTACGACTACTCAACACTTCACAATGCAGTTTGTAAGAATTGTTAATAAAAAATGTACTGATTTATATTATTTTTATTGATCTAATTTCTTAGATATTCAAATAAAATAGAATTAAAATTAAAATAGAATAAAATAGAACCAATAATAATTTTGTGTCTCTTCTATTATGTAAAGAGAAAATATAATTTCTTGTTGAAAAATAAAGTGCCATTATAATAGAATTAAAATTTATATTTCTCTTATAAGTATTTTTAAAAGCATATATAATCACAAGTAATTTTCTATACTTTTCTGTTTCTTGACTCTCATTTATTCTAAGCCATGTAGATAAAGATGTCTTTGCACGTGTAACTTAAAATAGATCATATAAAATTATGATATAAAAAAAATCTGTTTTGTGTATTATATGACATATACCAAGAATAAAATGTTTCTCTTTTGTCTATAAAATAGATGAAAGAGCATAACTGACATCGTTAAACGCATCGTATTATGAATATTTAAGGATTATTTAAAAAAATAAGAGTGAATTGTAATTAAATTAACTTGACCTGTTCTTTTAATTTGCTCAACTGTAAAAAAAAAAGAAGAGAAATAAAATATTTGAAATGATAATACTTGTGAAATTTTTATTTACATTATCTTTTATCTTATAATTTCCTGATATTTTATTTCACAATCTCCTCGATTATGTTCTCGATATTTCTTTCCGATTTTTGAAACTTATTTTTCGCGGTTTAAAGCTGCAATTTCTCGGAATCACGATTCTTGGAAATCTTGAAAAAATTCTCGGAATTTTAAATAGTACGACCTCCTTTCCGATTATGTTCTCCTGATACTTCATCGATTTTTAAATTTTCGAAGCTACAATTTCTCGGAATCACGATTCTTGGAAATCTTGAAAAAATTCTCGGAGTTTTAAATAGTACGACCTCCTTTCCGATTATGTTCTCCTGATACTTCATCG